AATTGTTCAGCGGAAATGATAATCCAGGGGTAATAGAAGAATTAATGAAGATAAGTAAACATCGGCTAATTAGCGAATTGTGATGGAGATGGTGAGACGGTGAGCCACTGGTGCTGTGTTATCAATCGTTCCAGATAAACATGCTACCGTGAATTTTTTCATCGCCTCGGTTATTGCGCTCTCCCCACCGGTTTAATAATTCATTTCATTTATGGAAATATTGTACTTTCTAATTGCATTTTAATTCTCATACTTACTATGAGTTCTCAGCAACATGGTGCATACATTTTGAATCATGAGTGGAGTATAATTCAGTCGGAATTGTGGGAAATTGTGCACGTGAAAAACATTATTTTTCATCACGCTGTGACGAAAAGTGAACTTTTCGGCACGCTCCGCGTGCCTAAAAGTCCAATTTCCGCCACATTGTGATGAAAAATATTGTTCGTAACTCGTTGGCGGTAACACTTTTTTGCACTCGTTACGAAATATACTATTAGGGGAGGGTGGGGCAAAACGGCCCCCCTTCAATTGTCAATAACTTGTGAATGACATTGTGAAAATTCCCAGTTTCAACTTCATTTTGAAGATAATTTTTCATTCTTCAAAACGAGCTCTAACTCATCCCAATCGGATTATTGAATCGGAAAATATTGACGATTGAAGGGGGGCCGTTTTGCCCCATCCTCCCCTANTCAATTTTTGTCGAACTTCCGGATATAAATCAGACGAAAAATTTCAATAATACAAGTTTATCGTTCTGAAAGGGTTCTGAAAGGGTAATTTTTCTCCGTGTATAAACCTGGAATTCAAACGCGTTGAACGTGTGTAAGCTCGCTATTAAAATTAAATTACTTGTTATAAAAATTCAAGGACTAATTGTTGAAATTTAACAAATACTTTTTAAAAGTTGACAACGATTCTTCATTCATGTTTTTATAAATTAGTCGTAACAAATATTTTTGGCGGTGCAAAATAAGTTGATTCACTCTTGCCGTTGTTTAACTCCACGTCAAATTGATTCGCATCAGAAGAAAGCGTACGTTATGCCAAAATAATCCCCATACAGTTGTAAACACAAAACTAGGAGCAATGAAATGTCCACCAGTCGGCCGTGACCCTGTTTATCGCATACCTTCCGGCTCCTCGGGATCATGGCACACCTTCGGACTTATAACGCGACGCGTTGATCTTAATCGCGAGTGAAAAGAGCACGAGATTCCGAGAGGACGTGAAAAACTAGAAGTAGAGCCGTGGAAATCTCGTCACACTATCGAGGAATTTTTATTTGTTCTCCTGATGAATGTACTTGTTTACTCGGATGAAGAGTTTTTATGGACAGTAGTGATGGGTAAGAAGATAGAATTGAGGATCGACTGGAGAAAGGGAAAATGACAGACATTGAAATTACACTGCAGTTGGGAGGATATTTCTCTCACTGTGAGAAATTGTATAATTATAATTTTGTTATGATGTAATTGGGAACTTGCATGATTTTTAAAACAATTTTTAATCCCCAGTTACGACTTTGAATGACTATTTTTTTTATAAACATTAGCCGTATTTGTTCGTTAATTAATAATTGATCTTCGAAAGTTGAAGACTTCGAACGATTCTATACCAGCAATGTACCCTTTGTTGATCCTAGGTAACGCTAACAGCTGGTAAGGCTCTAAATTTTGAGCCATTCCATACTCGTGAATGTAAAAAACACTGTATTTCAACTATTGAAAAAAATTTTGTCTATTTCTTTTTTAGTTGATATTCAGTCATTACTATAAAACTAGGGGGCTTCGCCCCCTGCGCATTCCACGCTCCCCGCCCCCCTTCCCCAATCTTCTTTGTATGTTTAGGTGTTCGTATTACATAGAGAAAAAAATTAATAGAATGACTTACCTCTTTGAAAAATTGAGATTTTCATTATTTACAAAAAGCACCAACCACCGCTTTTTGTCGCGAGCCTCAACCATCAATTTTTAATTAATTACCATTAATTTACATAGAATATTAGAGGTTTATAATATATTTTTATTATTATTTTTTAAGGATTTGACCCCCATATGAACTTATAGAGATATGAACATATTAGAGAGATAGAGATAAAATTCATTCTGAATGGCATCATGAGGGTCACAGTAAGGGTCAGGAACAGAACGTCTTCTGAGTTTTTAAACCTCCTTATTTTTCTATTCTATAGAAAGATATCTAGGCAATATTTCTCCATAATTCTTTTGTTTGATAGAAATGAATTCTATCTATGGGTTATGTATAAATAGAATGCGTGAATATGGAAATTATGTAAATCGCTACTGCTGTTTTTGTTACAGGAATATTATATTCCGCGAATGTTTTCAATTTCACCGGTTTTTCNTATAGAGAAAAAAATTAATGGAATGACTTACCTCTTTGAAAAATTGAGATTTTCATTATTTACAAAAAGCACCAACCACCGCTTTTTGTCGCGAGCCTCAACCATCAATTTTTAATTAATTACCATTAATTTACATAGAATATTAGAGGTTTATAATATATTTTTATTATTATTTTTTAAGGATTTGACCCCCATATGAACTTATAGAGATATGAACATATTAGAGAGATAGAGATAAAATTCATTCTGAATGGCATCATGAGGGTCACAGTAAGGGTCAGGAACAGAACGTCTTCTGAGTTTTTAAACCTCCTTATTTTTCTATTCTATAGAAAGATATCTAGGCAATATTTCTCCATAATTCTTTTGTTTGATAGAAATGAATTCTATCTATGGGTTATGTATAAATAGAATGCGTGAATATGGAAATTATGTAAATCGCTACTGCTGTTTTTGTTACAGGAATATTATATTCCGCGAATGTTTTCAATTTCACCGGTTTTTCGTTGCAAGGTTAACTTGCCAACGCGGCCATCGCCCGAGGGCCTTCAGCCAAGGAATGTTGAATGTGGAGTGGATTTTTCAGTTGAAAATTCCGTGGAATATTCGGTTTGAAAATTGTGTTGAATTTTCAGTTGAATATTATGTGGAAAATTGTGATGAAAAATTGGTGTGGAATTTTGGCCCGGCCGGGGCTCGAACCTGGGAGCTTGAGGTTGTGAGTCTCATGCTGCTACCAAGTGCGCCACACAGCCGGGTTAATAATAAATATTTTTCATTACTATCATGATTTAAAATAAGGGTAATCATCAAAATAACAATAACAGGAATAGCAGTAAAAATTGTCAAGATTTTTCTTATAGTTTATTCTCTTTCGTCTACCACGTTTCATTACTCTTTTAAGAATGAAATAAACTGATGTGAGAGTTAGTTGAGTAGGCAATAAACACTAATAAACACCGGAAAACCCACGGAGTTTCCCTGTTCGATGCAACCTCTTCTGCCGATGCACTTGCAAATACCACTGTAAAAAATACGCACTCGACGACCGTGACCCTATTCCTGCATACCTTCCGGCCCCAACATCTCGGCACACCTCCGTTGCACTTCATCTTAATTGCGATGAAAAATAGTACCTCGATATGAACATGATATATGAGTTTTGGTGAATGCTGCAGCACTCGTAATAAACGGTTTGTTTTTCTTGTAAGATAACTGGATTTTGCCTCTGATGAATAATCCTATTATGTTTACGATTAATGGCGGGACGACTGGGGAGTCTTGAAAGTATTTGAGTGCACGCATTTTATGATTTTGCGTCAGTGCGGGCGAGAAGTCAAAACGAAGTACAGGCATACAGTTGATAAATTTCATTGTTTACGGTTATGATTGACCATTTGTCGGGAATGCAATCCTTATTATTTCTTTTTCGAAATTTCGGGCGTTTTTAAATTGCTTGAGAATTAGACACGATCATGATGAATAAATAAAAAATATCCAATTCCGCAATAAAGGATTTTTTGAATATTCCCTTCTTATAAATGGAAAAACACGGCGAATTCTTTAAAACTTTCGAAACCTTATTTCTTTGACAGGAAATGAATTTTCCGTGAAACTGGGAATATCGATAAACTTATTACGCTTTATAGAAAAATACACTCATGGTGGTAATTTGAGGAAAGGTTCGTGAGTAGTTTGATAATCATTTTGAGGAAAACAAAATTGGATTCGGAAGGGGATAGTAGATTATAAAATTTCACTGAAAATTTAATGGAATTCTAAATTCGTTAACAGCAGGAGGACAAAAATCCTCAACTTCCCTGAATTCTCAATTAAACGATATTCAGTACCAAACATTAAATTTCACTAAATTATCAATCACAATAGCTCTTCAAGAATTGAAAACTGAACAGTATATTTACCCAAATTTCTCTGATACCTATTGATTTCCGTGGAATAATTGAGCTTAAATGTAAAAAAACTGAAAGTAAATGTAAAGTTTCCATTGATTTTTCTATGAAATCAAAAACTTGGAACAACGAAAGTCCTCACAAAAAAAATGGAATTAACAAAAAAAAATAGTATCCGAAAATCTAGTGACTGTCCGGATAAAAAGATCTATACAAAACACGTTTACAAGTAGAAGAAGACTCGGCATCATTGCTCGAAGGCTCAATTTCTCATCGCTATGGTGGACAGACTATGGTGGATTGCCCTTCTGATGAACGATTATTCTATCCCGCTCCAGAGGAATGTAGGAAAAAAACAAGATTTAAAAATTTCCACATTCGATTTTCGGGGTCATTACAATAACTCCCTCCCTTCGGGTCGGGAAGTTAAAAATATGAAAAGCATTAAAATGGCGATTTTTTCAAAAAATATTATAATTCGTCAATAACCCCTGAATACAGAGATTTCATAAATTATATAATCATTGTACAAACATAAAAAAAAGGTACAATACTGCTTAATTACGATTATGTACATTACTGACTTAAATACTTAAACAGAAAATAAAATAACTATAAATAATTCGTGATGATGAGGTAAAAAAATCGAGAATAAACGAGTGATACAGTAAAGACATATCTACAAACAAAATAATGCTCCATAGAATCACCCGAATACGCTACTCTTGATAATGCTTCCATCCCTGATAAGCGAGGTCCTGCCCATACGAGGCCCCCTCATTTTGGTAACTATTGTGGTAGCCAGGATTCTCCTGATAATTCGAGTGCTCCGCCGGATACCCATGATTACCTGTTTCCTTGTAATGTGAAAAACCGAGACCACTCTGAGTGTACACAGGCGGTTGGTAGTTGCTCAATATCGGTTTGCAGAACTTGAAGAAGCCAATGAGCCCCGGTATAACGATTGCCATGAAGCCTAGGAATTTTTTGAACGATGCCAGACCGAGAATCAGGGGCAGAAACAGAAGCAGCTTCAGCTTGAAAAGCTTCAGGATTATCAGCATGGGGATGAAGAGTTTCTTCAGACGCTTGCGAGCTGGAAAGATTAGTGTAATCAATATGAATTATTTTCATCTCCCTGATTAATCAAAGCCAGAGGAAATTTCCCAGAGTTTCTCTCTTTCTTCGCTGGGTTTTTTCCATAAACCCAGAATTAACTCAGAGTTAACTCTGGGTTTGATCTATCAGGTCATCGTGGCGAAAGAAAATATGATATTTTTTTTATCATGCACGGAGAAAAATTTCCTGGGAAAAATTCATATGCTAAACACCATAAAGAAGTCGCAATCTGCACACTTGGAAAAATTCTCGTGCGGCACCAGAAAAATTATGATGTCCCCAAGAATGTTTTCGGTGCTGAACGATAATTTTTCTGGTGCTAACACAATACTTCTTCCAAGTGTGCAAATTATGACTCGTTGATAATGATAGCACATGAATTTTTCTTGAATTTTTTTCTCAGTGTGTACTAGTCAGGGATGGCCAGCAATATTAGATTTCGACAATATTAAAAAGGATTACTTAGGGGACGGTGGGGCAAAATGAAACACGGGGCAAAATGAAACAGCAAGAAAATCTTGTGATCTAAGGGAGATAGAACGATTTTCATGAAAACCTTTTTTGTATAGAATTTTACAAGCTACAAAAAAGGTCCTTTTCAAAAATGTCCTATCTCCTTTAGATGACGAGATTTTCCCACTGTTTCATTTTGCCCCGTGTTTCATTTTGCCCCATGCTCCCCTACTTATATTGATCAACGTCTAACTACACTTATCAAAATGCAAAATATCATAAAATTAATAACTAAATTTTTCGATTATCGGTGAATAAGATATTTGATAATATTGAAATGTAAATTTTGCATTAACAAGTCAATTCTAAATTTTAGGTACTTGATTTTCGATTATCCAAATAATCGTCAATCTCCTACCTAAATGATTGGTTAATAAAATAATTCAAAATTTGAACGTACAAATTGATGGTTGACTTAATATTTAAATTTTTTTCAAGATTTATGTTAACAATTGCCAACTTCATAATTCAACGGGAATTATAATTGATGAATATGGCTATCTCTGGTACTAGTACTACACCTGGCGGCTCAGGCCTTCTGTGGGGTCATGCCCGACGTAAACAATGGGGTGAAATTTGTAGGCATGCGCGAATGGAGATTGCATCGCGCAGCGTCTCAGCGAGTCTGACCAAAGCGGCCTAATCCCCTTACGATCCCCGAGCCCCAATAGTATTCTTCCGGGCTGTTGCGATGGGGTTTTTTCTACTCGCGTGGAGTTGGCGTCCGAGCCAAAGGCGCGGACTGGGCAATCACGGAAGTGAAAAATCCCATTGGTAGACGGACAAAATGACGGGTGATTTTGTCGTCGACGACACACGACGCGTGTTAATTCCCATCGGTTATTTTTTCATTCAGCTATTTTTTCGTACATTCAACCCCACCACAACAACCCGGGACAAGATTTTTTTGTAGTGATCAGTGATACCGCGAGGCGAGACCAAACGAAAAATTGGATCTTCTCGTCTCGTGCCGTTGTCAGGAAACTATTCTCTCGTCTCGTCATGTCTCGTCATGTCTCGTCATGTCTCGTCATGTCTCGTCATTTCTCGTCTCGTCTCATGTCTCGTCTCGTCCTTTCTCTCGTCTCGTTTGTCTCGTCTCGTCATGTCTCGTCATTTCTCGTCATTTCTCGTCTCGTCTCGTCATGTCTCGTCTCGTTTCGTCATGGCTCGTCATTCCTCGTTTCGTCTCGTCATGTCTCGTCATTTCTCGTCTCGTCTCATGTCTCGTCTCGTCCTTTCTCTTGTCTCGTTTGTCTCGTCTCGTCATGTCTCGTCATTTCTCGTCTCATCTTATCATGTCTCGTCTCGTTTCGTCATGGCTCGTCATTCCTCGTTTCGTCTCGTCATGTCTCGTCATGTCTCTCGTCTCGTTCGTCTCGTCATGTCTCTCGTCTCGTTTGTCTCGCCATGTCTCGTCATGTCTCGTCATTTCTCGTCTCGTCTTGTCATGTCTCGTCTCGTTTCGTCATGGCTCGTCATTCCTCGTTTCGTCTCGTCATGTCTCGTCATGTCTCTCGTCTCGTTCGTCTCGTCATGTCTCTCGTCTCGTTTGTCTCGCCATGTCTCGTCATGTCTCGTCATTTCTCGTCTCGTCTTGTCATGTCTCGTCTCGTTTCGTCATGGCTCGTCATTCCTCGTTTCGTCTCGTCATGTCTCGTCATGTCTCTCGTCTCGTTCGTCTCGTCATGTCTCTCGTCTCGTTTGTCTCGCCATGTCTCGTCATGTCTCGTCATTTCTCGTCTCGTCTTGTCATGTCTCGTCTCGTTTCGTCATGGCTCGTCATTCCTCGTTTCGTCTCGTCATGTCTCGTCATGTCTCTCGTCTCGTTTGTCCCGTCTCGTCTCGTTATGTCTCCTCTCGTCTCGTTTCTCTCGCGTCTCGCGACTTCACTCGTAGTGATTTTCAAGTTCCCAAGTCTGGGAAGTATCCCAGCCAAAGAATCATAAGAAGCAGTGCAAAAATAGTACATTACAATACGAGACAGACGGGAATTTTCACATGTATCGAACAATATTTGGTACTGTGCACAATAGATTCTTCTCACAATAAACATCACGATAAGTATTACTCACAGAAGAGAGTGTCCTTCTTATTCTCGAGAGTATCGATCTCATCAGCAATTTCATCCAAAAATCTCGGGGCATAAACCTCGTTTTCTCCCGTCACCCAGGATGGTATGTTCACCTCGATAGCAACAGTTTTAACGAATCTCTCCGCTTTTCGAGTAGCGAACTTGACCAGCTGATCCCAATCAGACTCATCCGACCTGAAGCATAGCAGCGAGATTATTATTAACGCGTCATTAAACCATAAACGTTGGTTGATTGTTCGAGGTAAGTTTTATGACGTTTAAATGCCTACCTTGGGGAGCTGGAGAACTCGTACGGCTGACGAGCGACCTCTTGCAACACATCCCGTCCCATCCTCACGAATTTGACCTGGTCGGTGAAGAGGTATTCGGGCTGGTCGAAGAAATCGGCGAAAGAGCCGATCGCTCGGGATTTGAAGCATTCCGCGAGATCGCCGTTTAGGCAGGCCTGGTTGATCCTCGCGAGGTAGGGGTCCACGTGCTGACCTGTTCCGAGACCTATCCAGTCAAAGAGGTCCTTCCCTTGACGAGTCTTGTTTCGCTGGAGGCTTCCTTGCTGGAGCTTCTCATCTTGGAATTTGAGGGATTCTTCTGGAATGTCTGACATTGATTTGGAATTAATAGGATAACTCAAGGGGAGACTACTATGAGTTTTAAAAGTCGTAGGTTATTAGAGTGAGACTTTTCATACGTTGAAGATCGATTATATAGATCTGAAAACAAATAATCAGTGCAAAAAAAAATTTTGTTTATTGTTTGTTAGCTCCAAAATGTTTAAAATGCTACAGACAGTCCAGGGCCTCCAATTTTTGAACTACAAAAGATTTTTTCTTTCAAAATTTTCGGAAAAATGTGTGGAACAACAATTACGAGCCAGTTTTTTGGGATTCAACTCCTACACAGCTGATTTCGGTTTTTTTCATATAAAAAAATTCACTGTTTATGTAAAAAAATACAAAAAAAGCATATTTAGCCATGTAAGAGGCGAATTTAAAAAACTAGCGCGTAATTGTTATTGTTATTTGAAAACAAAAATCCTTCGTAGCTCAAAAATTGGAGGCCCTGGACTGATTTTGGCATTTTAAGGGTTGTCGGGCAAACAAACAATAAAAAAAATTTTTTTTGCACTATTTATTCGTTTTCAGATCTATATAATCGATCTTTAACGTATGAACAGTCTCCCCTTAATACAGTGGGAATCTCAGTAACGGGATATATGAGGATAAAACGGATACTGGGATAAAATGAAATAATATGATGCTTCTTTACTATCAAGCGTTCTTCACTAGTCCATGATGTTGTCCACAGTTCTAAAAAATTTTGATACAATTTTCAGTCAATTTCTTGAAAATTTTTATCGCATTGTTACGGGTCCCCCTTCGAATCCTAATTCAATTGTCGATCATTTGGAAAAAGGCATCTCGGTAACGACTGTCTTTTGGGTAACATTTGATCTGTCATTCTTCTTGGAAATCTGGTGAACGACTCACCGTCCTGTACCTTCCTACTCTAATTAATAAGCCGGCCGAATTCATTAAATGATTGTATCGTGTGCCTTTCTTCACTGAATACTACAGCATTATACACTTTAAAATTTTCCAGTGAAATTTCCGGGAAGAGTCTTGGAATTTTCTAACAAGTAACAGTTCCACTGGAATTTCAAGGAATTTTGTCATTCTAAATTCATAATTTCATGAAAAAATGCGTGGGACCTGTGAATTTCAGTTCAGTTATTGCGGGGGAATTAATGAAAATTCATGTAGCCGCGAGTTGTAGAATTTCCGTCTTCCTGCCGCTAAAAAATGGAACTTTACTTGAATTTTCAGAGAAGTTTGAAATTTCATTGACTTTTTCCCCTTAACCACTCAAAGACGGCGCACTTTTGACACTAATCTCGCCCGTGCGCTAAATAGCAACGCAATTCACTAATTTCCAATAACCCAAAAAATATTATATATAAAGTAGGTCTAATCAAACTCAGGTGAATAGTCTTCACAACAGATTTTGTTATTGAGTTAAGTTATTGAATTTTCTATCGTTATATATTGTTGATGAAGGCAATAATAACTGTTTGAATCAAATAAAAAATTATTTGTTAATTAATTGTTTGTGATAATATCGCATAAACTATGTGCGATAAATTTTACAAAAAAATCGCCGTATCCTGAATTTATCAATTCACCACGGATTCATTTTTTAAGAACATCGTAAGAATCATTTTCTCAAAAGCTGGAAAATTCTAGTTCCGTGGACCCGCACTAGTCAGACCCACAAAGTTTAAATAATAAAATCATTGTAAAATGTCCGACAACTGAGGGTTAAATGGGGCTCAAATGAAAGCTCAGATGTTCGACTACAAAAGTAGAAAAGCAATTCACTAGAGAAAAAAAGCTAAAGTCCTCGTAATTAAGTAAGTAATTAAGATTCTTATAAATCTTACTTTTACACCTTTACAATCTTAAAACAAGATATCATTTTTTTCGGCGCAGTTTGCCCTACTGCTCATCCTTTGTTCATTGTCCATTTCACCCCGCTATCCCGATTTGCCCCCTACCCTCGATGAATTGAATTCTCAATGTGTTCGTGGGGAAAGTTTTCAGAAGTTGACGCCACCGGCAAAGTAGAAAGTTCTCCACGAACGCCAGTAACTGGTAACCTTGACATTGAAGCGTCTTTCACAAGGCGAGAGGAACTTACCATGGTTCTCGGATGGGCCATCCTCGAAGGTAACTGCTCCCACCGACGCTGTTACCGATAGAGCGAGGACATACATCCAGTTCCATCCTGACGGTCGCATGGCCAATTCGCTATCCAACTGCTCCGTTGTGATAATTTTCTGACAGATTAGATTGTTTTAATTAACGACATTTTACACATTCCATTGATTTCGCTTGTTAAAATACACGCTGAGAACATCAACCCTGGATATTGTTATTTTCCGTCAATTACACTGATAATTTCCCAATCAGTTGGCTCATTACCTCGCGTAAAGGCTCAAGTGACACAATTCCGATTATCGTTATCGAAGAGTTGAACGTCCCCTGCTGTAAAGTCAAGGTGAAAGTCGTTGTTTTTACCTGATGAGCTAAATTATTCAAATATCTACACTGATACGGTGATCTCAACGCTTCAAATCCCCGGAATAATAAAGACTACCGAATATGACTGACAGAACGATTCGATCCTTATCTCTACTTAGAATTTACGATAATACTCACGTCCCAGTGTTTCAAATGCAGTCCACCATGACTGTCTCAGAACCAGTAACGTCAGTGTCTCGTCAAGTACTTCATCTCCCAAAATTTTCATTCAAAAACGTCCCGCAATCCACGAAAATTTCTAACTGACGCCGGAACTGTGCACTCATTCGACTCGAATCGGCGCCCACGCGCACCTGAGACCAACTACCGGTGGAGTTGTGTATAGTCAGACACGCAATGGTGTACCGGAATGCCGTTATCTTCCTGGACCAATAGGAATTCACGGTGCGTCTTCGTTAGCTCTTTGAATTCCAAATGCGTCCGTCATGATCGGTGAATATTTTATTTTAGGATCAGTCGAGTGGTTTATTCGAGGGTCAGGTGGATTTCATGTTATCGTTGGTCTGGTGGTCATTGAATGGCTGTTAATTGTGTCAGATGTTAATGATGCCAGCCTCGAAGAGAATTTTTTCCGGTTGTTGGGACCATTTAAAGTGCGTCGACAGAAATGACGCATTGGAACCAAATAAAACTCTATTTGAATTTTTTCTACGCTGACAGAAAGGATTAGTTATTGTTAACGAATGGATTTGGTTGGAGACGAGGGTTTATTCGGTCTCACCAAATGTTCATTCGTTAATAGTTGACAAATGCACATTTAAGGAGCCTTATTGGACTCGATTGTCGCTTTTCAAGTGAACCATTCGTTAACTATTAATGAATATTCATTTCGTCATATTCAACTTTACAATTCGTTAATAGTTAAAGAATCTCGTTTGGAATAAATGAATCAGTCTATCAGTGTAGTTAGTTTAACAATAGTTTTGTTGGAAATGAATAAACTCATATATTTGTTTTAAAGAAAATATTTTAATTGTGAGAAATCAATAATTCATTCATTTTTATTTCATGAAATGAGCATGTTGCCCTTTTTCGTGATTCATGTGAAAATGACTGAAGGGTTTTGATAGAAATGTCCACTGTTAATTAGATGTACCATAGAAATAATTAGATGTACCATAGAATTTCCAGGATTTTCGGAATAATGAAGTGTTGAAAAAAATTGTACTCTATGGCATTATCTTGCCTACTGCAGCATGCAACATAAAAATATTTGGAAAATATCTGCATTAGACTTTTTGGAAGAGTCTGTTATCATCGGTCAGGTGGTCAGGTGGTCATTGAATAGCTGTTAATTGTGTCAGATGTAAATGATGCCAGCCTCGAAGAGGATTTTTTCGCATTGACGCATTGAAACCAAATAAAACTCTCTATTTGAATTTTGTCTAATCAGTTCAACAATAGTTTTGTTGGAAATGAATAAACTCATATATTTGTTTCAAAGAAAATATTTTAATTGTGGCAAATCAATAATTCATTCATTTTTTTTCATGAAATGAGCATGTTGTCCTTTTTTGTGATTCATGCGAACATGACTGAAGGGTTTTGATAGAAATGTCCACTGTTAATTAGATGTACCATAGAAAATTCCGGAACTTTCTGAAAATTTCCAGGATTTTCCAAATAATGAAGTGTTGAAAAAAATTGTACTCCATGGCATTATCTTCCCTACTACGGTATGTAACATGAAAAATTCTGTTATCATCGGTCAGGTGGTCATTGAATGGCTGTTAATTGTATCAGATATAAATTTTTCCGGTGGTTGGTACCTATTAAAATGCGCATCCAGGGAAATGACGCATTAGAATCGAATAAAACTCGCTGTTTGAAGTTGTTCTAGTCATTTGAACAATAAATTTTGTTGGCAATTAATAAACTCACATATTTGTCTTAACGGAAATGTTTTGATTGTGTCAAGTCAATAATTCATTCATTTATGTTTCATGCAATGAAAATGACTCCGAGTCAATTTATCTCATCTCGCTTTCCAGTTATTCGCGTTTTTACTTCCGAAGGGAAGCCTTGTTCCTGACCGATTTTTTCATTTTCTAATTTTGATTGCAAATGGTCTAGAATGTTATTAACCGTGAAAAAATCGTTAGCTGTGTAGAAGACTAACGTAAGTGCCAAAAAATGTCCTCATACCAGAAGTTTTGAATTTTTAATTCCAGTTCCCATATTTGTTTTTTTTTCTCTTCTTCTATTGAACTCTCGTATTTTGGCACTTACGTTACTTTTCTATACAGCTAACGAAATAATGTTTTTAGGGTCATGTCTGTATGTATGTATCCGACAAGTTGGGTTTTTGGTGATTAATTTTTAGAAAATTCAACATAAAGACAGGAAATTCAGCATAAATACGTGTGAATTTGTCTAAAAAAATTCCGAAACATGTTCGGTTTTTCTAGAAATCTCTAGAAATTTTAAGACAATTCACGGATTTTCGAAAAAATTACTCTTTCCGAGCAAAATCATTTTTTCTTTTTGAGTCCATAGAACTTTTTTCAAGAGAGGAAAAATATATGGCCACTCCAACGGAATAACTACAGTAGACTCTAATTATAGTCGCATTTCCCCTCATTTTTCATTTTTTGTAGCTTGAGCGCTTCTCCCACTCCCCCATTTACAGAGCCCGAAACCTAAACACTCCCGTGATTTGGTGGGGGTAGGGAAGTACACTCGCATTATCAGAATTCGATTCCCCTATTCCCCATGAGTGCAACTATAACAAGAGTCTACTATAATCCTACCTAAAACCTCTATTAGAATCCACTAAACGATTTGTTTTGTTCACGTAAAGAATTATTACATGTTAGTAAATTGGGTCTCTTTACCGTCTCAATAATGATTTTATTCCTCACTAATACAGTTTTCAATTGGATCACAGAAACGTTTGTTTAAATTGATAAACCTATTTGATGTGAACAAAAACGCAAATCAAAAACTAATTTGAGTTTCAATAAAAACGTTATTACGAGCTACTTGAATGGATCTACTCAGAAAAAAAAAACAAATTTCAATTTTAGACTTAAAAATCTATTTAAGCCCTCTGACAGTCTCAAGTTGAGACTTGAATGTCTCAAGTTGAGATTTAAGAATTTCAAGTTAAGACTGTCAGAAAATCTCAATCTAAGACCTTGGAAATCTCAAAATAGGAATTTTTTTCTGGGTATTTATTTGATTCAAAGAAAGTTTATTTAACATAAATGAACCTTTCTTTGAGCGTATCAAAAATATACTTCGCTATTGTTAAGTTTCGACGAAAAGAGATGACAGTCGTAAAACAACCGATAATGGTCCAAACATAAATCAAAGCCCAGCAATAAAAAAAAGTAATAATAATAGAAAAAAATTTCAGTTGTGTCGTCTTGAAGGGAGAAATTTCGTCCGGTGGAATTTCAATGTAACGGGATATTGCAGTGAGAATTTTCATACGTTGAAGATCGATTCGATGTATATAAAGACGAGGAATTGGTGCAAAAAAATTAATTGCTTATGGTTCGTTTGATACTTGGATGTCCTTAATCGATTGAAGAAAAATTACTTGTCTCAAGTAAATACGTTTCAGATATTAGAAATTAATTTTCCCATTGTAACTAATCCTTTCTACACTGTTGGAAATTTTTTGAAATTTCATGGAAGATATTATAGTAAATCTCATGACAGTGACATTGAATCGGATTTAGGGAAAAACGGTCATGAGATTTCACATTTTAAGTAGAATGCACGGAAATTCATGAGTTTTCAGTGGGAGTGAGATGGAAATTTCAAAACTTGATTGAATTTTCAGTGGAACATGAATATTTAGAAACAAAATGACATGAATTTTCAATTTTTTCCTGACTTTTTCTGATTTTTCAAAATTTACACAGAATAATTGAACTGAAAAATCAAATATTTCATTTATTTTCCGATCATTTGAACAGAGAATCAACGGAATATTTAATTTTTCAATGACAAAATTTCCTGAAATTTCAGTGGAACGTGAACTCGATAATAATTTCCGGAATTTGGCACGGAAAATTCAGACGAAAATTTTTAACAGTCTAGGGTAAGCTACCCAGTAGATGGACACTGCTCTATAGATGGACGAGCTACTTTTGGATAGGAAAATACGCAAAAAAATATTGAAATGTGAATTGTTGCTTTGAATTTTCCCTAACTATTGTGATTCTTAACCCCTGAATGGCGATTCTTTTTCGATCAATTTTTTTTTTCAATTGCTAAAAAACAAACGTCCATCTACTGGGCGCCTTTCTCAGGCGTCCATCTACTGGGCCATTTACCCTATCAGTGCATCATCTTCATTTTCTTAGAGAACACTTACCTTAAAAATCCAATTACGTCTCACAACTCCTAGAAACGAAAACTCAAATACGTCCGATAGACACGAAATCAAAAGGGCGTTTGACCAGTCAGGGGTTCGCCACCAAACGTTTTATACCCTCGTTCTGCTATTACAGGAGAAAGATCAGTGGGCGAGTTGCGAAAGCCAACTACGTAAGATGTGCGCGGAGAAATGAGAAATGAAAAATAATAAACTCGAAAAAAATTGAGAGTGAAAGTGATTCTCAGGATATGGTGCCGGAACTCAGCGGCTCCTAAGGTCAGGGGGATGGTCCAGGGGGAGGTGGGTACGCGTAAAAACCAGGATCTCCAGTGTCAGTGACATTGCGGCAAGAGCAAATGCCTCAGAGGCTCTTGTATAATTTTCTCGCCGCATTTCGCACAACGCAAAAACCGTCTTTCACTTATTCTGAATCACTGGCGTCGCGAAACAACGAATGAGAGTGAGCTTCGTCCCAGTCTGTGCCGAATGCTCTCAGTGACACCGTGGCAGACCTAGAAAAATTCTCCCAGAGATTTGACAAAGGAAAAATCAAAAACATTCGGCTTCATTCGTTTTAATTCAATTAAATAATTCAATAAATTAAATAAATTATCTAGCCTTATCGAAAGTAAGTTTGTTCCATGTGTACGTATAGTGTGTGGCGCATCGTCTCCAATTAAATTCGTGAAACAGACACAACACGATTCAAGAGGACCCATTAGTGTACTCAGTTTTATTTGGTACCCAGGGAAGACCGCAACTAGTAGATAGTAAAATCAACTTTCATCTTCCTCGCGTACCAGTCCCACCACACAATCATCATCACTCATGATTCTCCTTAACAATTGCCCATGGGTCATGAGTAATCCCATCATCGACTTTCGATTCTGTCGAGAAAACAATGTCACCTGGGATGACCAGAAAGGTGACCGGGGTTTTTTTTCCTATTGACAAACTCCCGGAATTTTTTCCCCTCAATAATTTTTCCCCTGTAGAATTTTCCCAGAGGTTTTCCTCGTTAAAAAATTCTGGGAAATTTTTTTTCCGTCAATTTTTCCTGGGCGAATTCGTCCCTGTGACATTAGTTTTCCTTACTAATTTTTCATGGATGGAATTTTGCTTGAAGTTTGTTTTTTTTCGAAAAATGCTAATTGAGGTTCTTTTTGCTTCCGGATGGAAGCCTTCACGGAGAAAATTCATTTTTTTCACGCAGAAAATTATTTAGAGAATTTCAACAACTAGTTGCTGAAATTCACTAAAAAATTTTCTCCGTATTGTATTTGATCGATTTTTCGATGTTCTAATTTTGATTGCAAATGGTCTTGAATGTTATAAAATATGCAGAAATGATGTTTTTAGGGTCATACCTGTATGAATGTATGTGACAACTTGTTTTTCTCTTAGAAAGGAAAAATGAAAAAATTAATAACAAAAATTGTCTTTTTTTCATTCGCGACTGGTGAATAAAAAAATATCCTGACTATGATAAAACACTGAAAACAATTGTCGATGGTTTTTAAATGTTGATGGTTGATGGTGGGGCTTTTCTCGGGAAAAATCTTTCAGAGAAAAAATGTTCCGAGGAAAAAAATCCGGAAAACGACCAAAAAGTGTCTGAAGAGATCACCAATGCCCAATGCTCTTCAGTGTCATCTCCCGAACAATAATCTTCGCAGCGACTTTCACCTCAGTCTGTAAAGTCTATTAGCCCCTCCCACATTTCACTATTAATCCTGCCCATTGAAAAAGTCTAAAGCTTCACACAAACAGAGTCTACAGCTTTCTCGCGTGCACGAGTTTGTCGATATCCTGATAAGTAGCGAGCATGGCTTGATTCTGCCTGAGACTGGGATCGTCCCTCGCTATATCACACCCGGAGTAAGCCTTCTCGCACTTTATGCCGTCCTGGCCGTCCTTGGCAGCCTTCATGTACCTGAAGAAACGCAGGACATCGGGGTTGTCACTGCTCGGCCTTCGCAGCTCATTCAACTCCCTCGACAATTGCGCAGACACCAGATTGGAGTATGGCGCGTATCTTGCTGGGCTCCTGTACATCGCGCAAACTGCATACTCACGACAGAACTCGTTTGTATGGCCGAGACGCGAAAATACCGCGTCTAACCGAGATAGCAGCGGCGAATAGAATGGGTCATAGTTCGTCAACAGTAACGAACTCGTTGGTATCTCATGGAAGACCTGCGGAGGAAAATAACGGGTCATGTGATGATTTTACACAGACAAATGGGGGTCTGCTGTCGAGAATTACTCTTGATTTTAGGACAATTCTTCCTGTTTGGAAAGTTTATGAGATTGGAGGTTGTTAGTGGGAGATTAAACGGACAGAGGAATTTTATTATACATTTTGTAAAGTGTTTGGATGAAATTTCCAGTACACTTTTTTGAAAATTTTGAAAAGGTAAACTTTCTCATTTTTTTCAGATTTTAAGAATATTTTCTAACGGTTTAATATTGAGATTTAAATTCCGACCTACAAAATTTAAATTATAAAATAATAATAAAATGTCCGGAAACTTAGGGTCAAATGGGGCTCAAATGAAAGCTCTGGTGGTAGACTACAAAAGTAGAAAAGCATTTCACTGGAGAAAAAATAGCCAAAGTATTTAGATATCCTTAATACTGAACTGTCCGTAATATTTCCATTTTTTGTTGATGGTGTATAGATAGCCCTTATCACTCATACGAAAAAGAACCTCAATCATTATGCTTCTTTTTTTCTTTTTTTCTCTATCGTCAAAACAGTACCGAAGCGGTAAAACGATTTAAGTCGACTTAGCTCTCATCTGAGTTTTTTTAGGCATATCTCCGAATCTAAGGGAGATAACAAAATTTTTGTAATAACCTTTTTTGTAGAGCGAATTGAGTGCTATAGAAAAGGTTTTGTCAAAAATTTTGGCATCTCCCTTAGATTCTGAGATATTTATGGAAAACTGGAAAATAGTTTTACCGCTTTGCTACTGAAATGAAGATCATTCAAATTAAATCTTGGTGAATAGAAGGGATGTCCCTTCGTCATTCAGTACGATATAGAGAAGGGTACGGCAAAATGGACCCCTAGGGCAAACCGGACCACTGACAGAAAATTGATAATTTTTTTTGTCTTTCCTTCAAAGCAGAAACATATTGAATGTGCTGAATGTGTTGAATTAAAAGTGAGTTGCAGGATCATAACCGTCACAGGGGTTTTATAGACAACAAGTGTCGTTGAACCGCAATTTCATGAGATTTGCTGATCACCTCGAACGACAAATGACTTTGAAATTTAAAATGAAAGAAAAAAATTGAAAATTGAAAAATTGATTGTTGAATTTTTGTTCTTGCTTCCATTCGGAACCAAAAACTATAAAAAATATTATCAATTTTCTATCAGTGGTCCGTTTCGCCCTGCGGTCAGTTTTGCCCTACCCTCCCCTAGAATCCCAAAATTGGAAAACAGCTTCAGACCTGAATCTCGAGAAGACTGAAAATAATGACCTGAAAAAATCCAATGTAAACGAATTTGATATTGATCTGAAAATAATAATTCCATTGGTAATCCCCCCAAAAATTTCTCCCATGTTCCAGAACCCCAAATAAAATATTACCTTGAAGTCCTGAGTCTTCGACAGTCCGTTAGTGGCCACATGCCTCGTATAATACCGATCATTGAAACCATTCGCCCCGGCATACCTAGAGTCGACATACGACAACCTCGAATCAGGCTTAGGAGACGGCTGCATGAGCATTCCCTCGTCGTACATGGCAGAAGCCGGTAACGTTCCAAGTGGCTGTTTCATCATATAATCATCCCGATAAAGATCCGAATTATCCTTGAACTCGAAATTCTCCTCGGGTTGTGCTGCACCACCTGAGCCTTGGGCAAACGAAGTAAGACCTGCTAAGCGTTAATTATAATAATAAACTTCCTCAGGATAGCGAACCGGTAGTGGAATACTCACCTTTCCCAACAATTTTACCGATACTTCCAATGATACTTGGAAGGAAGAGAGCAACCAGCATTGTTTTGATAATTTGTGCACCGATGAACAACGGTATCATGAGTTTCTTCAGTCCGAATGCTAAAAAACCAAGTCCGAAGCCGGTTAAAAAGGGATTCTGTCCATTAGCTGTAGCTGAAAGCAAAAGGGTACCAGGCGCGGATTAAAGCAGAGAGTTAGCCCAAGCAAATGCAGGAATCGGCTGATTAATCCCAGTTGTTTTGGTTGTTGTCGTCTGAATGTCTCGGCAGAAGGGAGTAACCTGTCTAGGAAGAAGCTTACAGAGAGGAAAATTCATGCGTTGTGAAAATTCGTATTAATTCGAGATGAATTTCTCGCTTTTGAGAACCTTTCGACTGAGAGACGGAACTACCTCATATCACGAACCTCATTTCTTGAGCTAAAAAAATTGTAGAGATGTACGGGTAGTAACCAGTTGTTACCTTTAATCCGTTATTTCTGAAACCAGAATGGAACAAGAATCGAGATGGTAAAGTATACGGTATTTTTTGTAAATTTCTATCTTAGTCGCCCGAAACCTAAAATTATTTGAATGATGTCGCTCCTCAATGTAAACTCCCAATTCATCCTCTAAAAGCTCCAAAAGATGTGACAGAAGATTCTCCAACTGATATAAACTGTTTTTTTGTAAATATTTTAATGAATGGAAATGTTAAATTATGATTTCTTTATCTCTGTTTAACCCCGCTACTTCACCTCGTTTGATTCCTCTCCTTATTTAACTCTTATTTTTTTTTATTTCAATCATCGAGAAAAAAAAGTAACGAATACTTTTTGATAGTTTTTTTCTTTCAGTGTATAATATTCTGAGAATCTAAGCGAATCTAATTGAAGGTTCTAAATAGTGTCAGTGAAAAGCGAAAACATCCTCAACATAAAAAAAGACCAGTTATTTGGTGGAAGTAGTTCCCGAGATCCAAATTAGATTAATTTCAATCACTTCGTCCCCTGTCCAAAGGCTTTATCATTGTATTCAGATTTACCGTTCTCCAACTGTATATGGCTGCCTGGATTTGTGGAATATATCATAACAATAGTTTTATGCATTACTTCGTAGGCTTTAATGAACTTGCGTCTCAATTCAGCGTTGAAAACCGTAAAGATTCCAAAGACGAACTGGTCAGCAAGTGCTAATGATTATTTTCCTTGAACTAGCTGTGTGGCCCGGCTTCGCCCGGGCAGAATAAAAGAAAATTGAATACTAAGATTTTTGAGAATTCCTGCAGTTAAAAAAAAACACATCAATGTATGCGACTTTTCTCGAAGACCCAAGAATTGTCTCAATTTCCTTGGAAAAACCCCAAATTTTCTTGACTTCTCGGGCGTTCTCGGCTGAAAAGTCTAAAACATTGAGGTATTTTTTTGCAGGAATTATCTAAATTCCTGATATTAGTTTCTCTCTTATTCCGCGAGAGCGACAATCAATCAGAATTTTTAATTCAATTGATCAATTGAAACAAAAACATTTTTTTTGAACCCAAGAATTCCTTTGAATTTTCAAGAAAATCCGGAAATTCCCCCGAATTTTCTAGAAAATCTGGGAACTTTCTAGAAAATTCAAGAGTTCCTTCGAATTCTCCTTGAAGCCAAAGAATTTTCTCAAATTTTCTGTAAAACTGAAAATTTTCTCGAAGTGTTTCGAAAACCGGAGAATTTCTTCGAATTGTTTAGAAAACACGAGAATTCCCTCAAATTTTCTGTAAAACGAAAGGATTTCCTCGAATATTCTATAAAACCTGAAAATATCCTCAAACTTCATGGAAATCTCAAAAATATTCTCGAAAGCTCGAGAATATACTAGAATTTCCCAGAAAGCTCTAGAATTTATCTAGAAGTTTCTACGGTGGATCCTAAACTATGCACCAGCGCAACAACTTATAGTCTAAAGTCGATTGGGGACCCTAAACTATGCAATAGTAAAAAAAATACCATTAAAATCCATTCAGTCGTTTTTGCGTGGATCGCGGCCAAAGAATGGGCAACAGGTTTATTATATTTAAGATTCTCGCCCTTCAAAACACTCGTGTTCGTGACAGATAGTAATTAATATTTTCTCACTAGAGAGGATCATTCTCAAATCAACACCAATTCTCCAAATGCAGAAAGAATTCCTCCACGTTTAGAAATAGCTGATAAATAGGCACAGGCAGCATACCGTGCGTTAGGGTCCGGTACTTTGCGTCCAATGTTTTTTCATCTAATGTCAATTCGTCCAGCGATATTTTTAATCTCCTTTTATGTTACAAGGCCTAATAAATCGCGATTCTAATCTGGCTTGTCTCAAATAGGTTGCGGTTTTCGGGCGCGTAACATAGAATAGTTTATATCACACGCCCGACAAAGTATTTTCTGACGAATGTGTTTATAATCCTCTCATTCGGCTCTGATTATACATATAATTCACATGGAATCTCCTATTTTTTCTCATTTCCCTACCATTTATTGGTGAATTTCTTCTCTATCTGATCAAATTTTCGTGCATTAAAAAAACGCATTCGTGTTTACAATTAAGATTTAAACATTTTCTCTCACGTTGAATTGTTTTTTTTTTCAGTTTCAATGATTGGAATCGGTTTTTAAGGTTTGTTTTTCTATTTATCCGTGTTTATGGTGTGTTTATGCCGTTTTCGGGGAATTGCTTCTTCCGTTCTTTATATCGGTTGAATTGGACGATAGTAGATTTTTCACACCGCTGGACGGAAAATTCGTACTTTCCTCCCACTCATCAAAGAGCAAAATATGAACTTTCCTTTGCAGGCGTGTTAAAAAATAGCATGTGCACCTCGGGCGGGAAAACGTGACTTTCCGCCCTTGATGCACAATATACTAATTCTAACCTAGGAAAGTAAAATAAAAGGATCGTGTCCACGTGTGGAATTACGAGGGTAAGGGTACTTTATTTTACCTCCCATGGTTACAACCATACTTTTCGCCTCAGCGTAGACGCAAAGTCAGATTTTCTTTCCGCGCAGCTAAAATATGTGCTTGCGCCCGCCAGGGCGGAAAATGTATTTCAAGACGGAATCATTCTGGACGAAAAATCATTGGACGAATGGTTTTTGGACCAAATCAGTAGCGAATTGGTTAAACTGTTTAAGTCGACTTATCTCTTAGTTGAGTTTTTGAAGAATATCTCCGAATTTAAAGGGGATAATGAAATTTTCGTAATAACCTTTTTTCTAGAGCAAATTGAGGGCTACAAAAAAGCTTTTAACAAAAATTTAGCTATCTCCCTTCGATTCCGTGATATTTACTAAAAACTGGTCAATAGTCAAAATCAACTTAAACCGGTTTACCACTTCGCTACTGAAATGTACCCTACCCCGTGCGTTAATACCCAAATCAAGCGCATCCATAGCATTAGTAAAACCCCAAGCTCAAACACTTGCCTCCAAAGAACATCCTAGACTCCGGAGTGGGCATCAACTCCTTATCCAAATTAATCCTCATCACATGGCTCTTGGCGAACCTATGGACCTTCTCGAACAGGCCTTCGTCCTCATAAACCGGCGTCGTCGTTTCGGTTTTCACCACTTGAATCGCCTCCGTGATGTTCACAGTATTCCTCGCTGACATATCGTCAATCAGAGACGATAATTTCCTCTCTAAACAATCTATCGATATCGAGTTTTGGCACTTGCTCCTTCGCTTCACAGAACTGTCCACCTGCGTCTCCATTTCGGAGATCTTCTTGGAATCCATGTAGATCATCTCCGAAATATCCATATCGAATTTCGACGGTTTATCCTCCATCGAGTGAGGATGAGGGGTCGACTGTTGGTCCCCTCCCTCACTACTAATCACTTCATTGTTCAGTTGCACTTCATTACTCTCAGTTTCATTGAGCAACGTGCGCTCCTCCCTGGTGGCCTTGACCCCGGCCAGGGCAGGGGGCCACACAAGTGTAATGAGAAGTAGACAATAGCTAGCGTGCAGACTCGGCCTTCCCATTATCATCATCATGGCTAATGTTCTTCGCTTTCGTTGGAATCTCCCAATTACTCCGTCATGTGTGGGCAATTCAATGTTCAGTAGTTCGTTGGGATCATACTGAGGAGCGCTCTGCGTCACCTGGAATGTTTTCGTCATGTTAATTGGTACCGGTGAAGGGGGAGTGGGAAGATATCGATATTTATGAGCTGTCTAGTGGAGTGGGCCTCGAATCAATGGAACCTGGAAATTTCGACCTGATATGCACTGTTGAAAATTTTCGCCTGAATTTTTTGTGTCAAATTCCAGAAATTTTTATTGTGTTCAAGTTCCACTGAAATTTCAGGAGATCTTGCCATTGAAAAATCAAGTATTCCGTTGTATTCCGTTGATTTTCTGTTCAAAGGATCTGGAGATCAATAAAATGAGGGAAAAATTGACAATTCATGGCATTTTGTTTTTAAGTATTCATGTTCCGCTGAAAACTCATGGATGTTCGTGAATTTTACTTCAAACTTGTAATTTCATAACCATTTTTCCCCTAAATCCGATTCAATCATGACATTTACTATATCTTCCATGAAATTGAAACAAATTTCGAACAGTGTGACGCAGGGATTTCGGAAGAATAGTTTCAAGAGGAACGTGTCAATTGTTGCGACAAAAATCGGAATAATGACTCCATTAATAAAGACTACTGTCCCATTTAGGAATGATCTACATGCTCCAGCTACCACTTTGCAAAGGGAGAGTATTTCAACCAATATGGACATGTATAAAGACGTGAATAAAAAGACTTTTCTCAAGATGAATGCACTGAGAGAAAAATCTGAAGTTCGATTTACAATAAGAAAATAGTTGAGGCATTTTGGTAAACGATACGATTTTTTTTTGTGTGCGGTACATAACATTACAGTAACTGCACAAGCGTAATTTTTGCAAATCAACATGCAGTTAAACTAACCAAAGTTCAAAAGTAACCACGACAAATCTATCGTGAGGAGAACTCCAAATAGTTGCAATGACTACATTCCATTGTAGTAATTACTTCTCCGGCCATAGTTACCGTAACCCATGAAAAATTGTTGAGGAATTATTGTTAGAGTATTTTGCAATTTTTAATCAATTAATATGTTGTTGCTCCACGCACATTTTATTAGAGTTTATAGTGACTACATACTAAACCTGTCAAGGTAATTCTGTATATTTCAAGCAAGTGTTTACGCAATTTGTGCAATTTTCAGTATTACAGGCTAGAGTGTTTGTTTTGATTACAATCAATGTATTTGTGTGAGTTTTATTGTAAAATTTAGAGTGACATTCGGTCATGGAATTTATGTTTGGTTTTCAGAGCCTGAAGAAGCTGCGATTTGCAGCGAAACGTCGCGATTTGACAATAAATTAGTATTACTGAACTCTTCCAACATCCCATTAATTATTCCTCTTATTGTTGAGGACTTTTTGACTATAATTCAATGGTGATGGAATATAGTCAGAAGAATTACATTTTCGTGAGAAGACCCGGTAAACCGCGATTCTAACCTCGCTTCGCTCGAAAAATTGCATTCATCACACGGTCCAAAAGTATTTTCTGACGAATGTGATTATAGGCCTCGCCTTCGGCTCGGCTTACAAAGCCACATTCGTCAGAAAATACTTTGTGGACCTTGTGATGAAAATAACTATTTTCTCTCAGTGCTTTGCTCGGTTATATCGCGATTTTCGGGCCCAATGACAAAAAATATTGTCGATACACGGCCGTAAAGAACCTTTCTACCTCATATGATTACAGAACTCGCCTTCAGTTCGTCCTGTATCGTCATATTCACCAGAAAAGTTCCTCACGGCCTATTGTTGTAATATTCTTGAAGTGAAGGCTTCATCAGTGACATTGTACAATTGAAGGGGATCATATACTAAAGATCGCTCCGCGTCACCTGAAAAGTTTTCGTCATGTTAATTGGTATCGGTGAGAATCGAGTGGGAAGATATTTACGAGTTGTCTAATGAATATTTATAGGCTGTCTAGAATCAATAGAACCTGAGAATTTCAACCTGATCTTTATGGGCCAGAGATTTCCCACCGGCGCCGGAGCCGGTGTTTACTCAGCCGCAGCAGAACTCATTGTAATTAGTCCTTTCATTTAAGAAGAATGTTTTTCAGATGAACGTGTCGATTTTTTGTATAAAATCGAGTTGATGATTCTATTAGGAATTACAACTGTCTCGTTTAGGAGTGATCTACATGCTCCATAGCTACCACTTTGGTCGAGGGAAGAATTCAGTAGCGAAGTGGTAAAACGGCTTAAGTCGATTTTGACTATTGGCCAGTTTTCAGTGAATTTCTGGGAATCTAAGGGAGATAGCTAAATTTTTTTGTAGCACTCAGTTTGCTCTAGACAAATGGTTATTACGAAATAGTGATGCCGCGAGACATTTCATGAGACATCACGAGACAAAACTTTGGAGAGATGATCTCGGTCTCAAGGAACATGGAAATGTTTGCTCTCATCTCAGTGTCAAAATACGGTTCCCATTTTGCGCATTTTTTATGTGTTGAAACCGGAGACGAGACAAACCGAGACGAAAACCGAGATTTCATATAAAGAAACACGAAAATCTTGAGACCGAGATGAGAGAAATTGACTCGGAGTCATCACGAGAGGAGTCGATACTGCGTGGTTCGAGACTGAGACAAGAGCAATGATTTTCGTATTCATTGAGAACGAGATCATTTCTCCAAACGTTTGTCTCACAAAGTGTCTCGCGGCATCACTATTACGAAAATTTCGTTATCTCGTTTAGATTCGGAGGTATTCTTCAAAAACCCAACTAAGAGATAACTCGACTTAAACCGTTTTACGAATTCGCTACTGTTTTGACGATAGAGAAAAAAAGAAAAAAAGAAGCATAATGATTCAGGTTTTCATTCATATGAGTGATAAGGGCTATCTGAATTGTAACCAGCATGGGCAGATGTAAAAACTTGAATGGAAAAACGTTTCTTGAAGTGAATGCTTCATCATTAATATTGTGCAATTGAAAGGGACCATGCTGAGCATCGCTCTGCGTCAGCTGTAAAGTTTTCGTCATGTTAATTGGTATCTGTGCACAGGGAGTGGGAAGATATTTACATTTATGAGTTGTCTAGTGACGTGGGCCTTAAATCAATGGAACCCGCGAACTTCGACCTGATCTTTATGGGCCAGAGATTTCCCACCACTGCCGAAGCCGATGTTTAGTTAGCCACCGCAAAATTCATTCAAATTAGTCCTTTCGTATCGATTTTTTTCTGGTATGAAATAAGGTTTATGATTCTATTAACAATTACTACTCTCACGTTTAGCAGTGATCTACGTGAATGAAAAGACTTTTTTCGAAGTGAATGCTTCATCATTAATATTGTGCAATTGAATGCGATCATGCTGAGCATCGCTCTACGTCACCTGAAAAGTTTTCGTCATGTTAATTGGTATCGGTGCGGAGGGAGTGGGAAGATATTTCCACTTTATTTATATTTATATTTATGAGTTGTCTAGTGCAGTGGACTCTGGATCAATAGAACCCGGGAATTTCGACCTGATCTCTATGGGCCAGGGATTTCCAACCGACGCCGAAAGCCACCGCAAAACTTATTCAAATCAGTCCTTTCCTGTCGATTTTATTCTAGTGTAAAATGGGATTAATGATTCTATTAACAATTACTACGGTCTCGTATAGGGATAATCTACATACTCCAGCATGGGCAGATGTAAAAACGTGAATAATTAGACTCTTCTCAAAGTGAATGCTTTATCACACTATCGTACAATTAAATCCCTAAATGTTAGGGCAAAAAATCGGGTGATGATCACTAACTATCGCAGCCCCTATTCATTTTTGAATTCATAATCAATGAAACCTAGAAATTTCGACCTGATCTTTACGGGCCACCGATTTCCAACCGGCGCGGGAGCCGGTATTTACCCAACTACAGCCGAACGCATTGAAATTACACCTTTCATGTAGGAAGAATGGTTTCCAGAGGGACCTTTCGATTTTTGCCCGCAAAAAATCGGGTTAACGATTCTATTAACAGTAATCACTACTGTCTCATTAAAAAATCACCTACATGCTGCACGTACCACGTTTCAATGTTTCCTCTGCAGTAAATCGCCAGCTGCGTGAATAAAAGAGCTACCAGAAGTGCTTCAGTTAACGTTTGAGTAATTAAATATTTAAAAAATGATCCCAGGTCATTCACCGTGTCCCCACGGACACACTGGCGAATGGGAAGAATGTTTTACTTACAAACGCACTAGTATTCCTCTCATAAATCCACCCCAACTTCGAACGATAAAAATCCCCAGAATTTCGAGGCCCTTGGCAGAGACAATTACACTACCGAGTATCTGATAAAACCTCTGCAACGTGATTCTTCAAACCATCGGAGAGGTTTTGACGCGCGTACGACGGACGACACGGCACTGGCGAGCGTTGCTCGAGGAATCGGCCGAAGCAAGCCGATCTGGGTTACCCGGCCATCCGTCTGTACGTCCTCTGCGCCACGTTCATTCGGTATACCTTCCCCAAAGCCTTCCTTCCTTTTCCCTCACTCACCGTCAGGCACATCAACATTTATTCCCACCTCTGTTCACCATTCCTTTTACACACCACCGAACATTCTCGCTTTACAATTCTCCTTTTTTTATCCAAAATTATCCTCCGAATTTAACTGTCCCGAGATAATCATTCTCTGGTTTTATCCTCTCGATCGGCTTCGAACCGTCGATGGCAGGCGACAGCACGCCCGATCAAATAACTATTAATTACGCAGCAGTCATTTATCATCGAGAATAATTACCTCAGTCCCCCCGCAACACAACAACCTCTGAATCTGTAACAATTATCGACTACTGTTTTTTCGATTGAATGAGGTTTTTCGATCGAAAAAAAATGCGGCGTACACACGATCGAAGGAGCAATGGACGCGTGACGCAGACTTGTCGCAGGCGATCGCACCCATCGCGATATAGTCATATAGACCTGATACCCGTTACGTTAATGCGACTTTTTTTTTACCATTCGACTTTTTTTGTAACATACTGTCCCGTAACGGTCGACTCGTTCGATACCAAGTTCAGGAAGTTGTATCATTATTTCGATTTGACTAGTTTATTGGCGTTCACCATGTGATTTCAGGGATTTGGGAATGTGATTAGTGGATGAATTGCATTGAAATGCTGGTCAAAGCCCTTGTTAGCAGTAACGGTAGGAGCTGGCGCGATTTAGAGCGGTGCTGCGTGAGCTTGGACCTCCCCACGAGCGTTTGATAAATCCGAAGTATTAATTTTTTTCGTTGTTTGCGGCATGCGAACGGGGGGCGGCGAAATTGTGTGGCGCACATCCAAATCTGTCAGTGGGTCAGTCGCACGGGGCCATTGGACTCTCGGCCAGTCCTCGCCATGCAAACGACCTTGGGGGGAGCATCGTCCAGGGAAATTGGGTCGCTCGTTGTCCTTGGGTGAACCCTTTTCTCATCAAGGGTTCCATGATTTGGAGGTGTGCAGCGAGAGGAAGCGACTTGTGGAACGGAGGGGCTGGAATTCGACTGGGCATGGCGCAGGCGGATGTCGATGGGATGCGAGCTAGGTCAAATGACGTAGCCGTATTCTGGTATGTTTACTATGACTTTCGTTTTGGTTTTGGGATTTTTCAGGGAACTAGCGAATGGGGCGCGCTGCGCGCGCCGTAGCCGGGAGTGTCGTGCCATATGTGTCATTTTTCATGGTAACGTATTTTGAACTCCATTTGGATGTGTGCAGAAATTTAAAGTTCAATCTGTATTCATGGCCGGACATAAGTTCATGTTTAGACCAACGTTGCATAAGACCCATATGTTTTTCTTCCATCCGGCCGCTGGCCCATGTGACCTCCAGGGAAAGGGAAAAGGAAACTCTCTATGGATCTTTAATTTACTCGAATCAATATCCGAATTTCAAAAAGACAGGAAAAAATAATATATTCCTATATTTCTCCATATCGCCTTCGACAAATTTTAAAAAAATGAATAAATAAATGAAATTTTCTTTAAAGCTCAATCTATATTTATGGCCGGAAATAAGTTCATGTTTAGACCAACGTTGCATGAGACCAAATGTTTTCTTCCATCCGGCCGCTGGCCCATGTGACCTCCAGGAAAAGAGAAACGGAAACCCTCTATGGATCTTCAATTTACTCAAATCAATATCTTAATTTCAAAAAGAAAGGAAAAACGAACATATTCCGATATTTTCCGGAATTAATCAAAAGTTATGAAAATTCCGAGAAATATTTTCTTAAATTCCAGATTGTTTTGAATTTTCAGGGAATTCCTTCAAAAATTTCTCGAATTCCAAAAATTTGAACGAAATTGCCTGAAAATTCAAGGGAATTTGGCACTGAATACTCATTTTCACTTGAAAATTCATGTAAATTGTCAAATGTCCGTTCTCCTGTCGCGAAAAAAATGGGACTTTACTTGAATTTTCATAATGACTTGAAATTCTATTAACGTTTTCCCCTTAAATCGAATTCCAAGTCTTTTTCTGGGAAACTCAGCTAATTTTTTTTAACAGTGCTTAAGGGGTAACGAATGCCGCCAATTTTCCAAATTTTTGAACAAAGTTCCTGTCGAATGTTACAGATATTTTCACAAATCGAAGTACATTAACATCCAGGAGGCGATGATGAAGATCAACGTGCTTTGTCGACGAAAAATATGATCAAATCCCAATGTGGTCAACTGACGTAGCCATATTCTGGCATATTTACTGTGACTTTCGTTTTGGTTTTGGGATTTTTCATTGAATACTCGGGGCACGGCGGGTGATTCAATAATTCGAAATTAGGTCTTCAGTATAGTTTTATCTGTTGATCATTCTGAAGGTGTAGGAAATCGATGATGTACATAAATAAATGGATAAGTCAGGAGTTTTCAAATTGATCGAGCATGGCGTGGAATAGTTTGAGGTTTAGTCTGGAATCTAGAGTATTGGGTGGAACGAAAGAAGGTGAATGCTGTTTTGACGGGAGGCGTTTAACCGCGTCATTCAGACGAAAAATTAATTGGACCCAAAAAAATACGCTTTATTTTGGGACTTTTAGAGGTCTCAATTGAGATTTTCAAATGGCTTAAATTGAGAGTTTCAATTCTCAAATCAAGACTTTCGAAAATGCCAAGTTGAAATTATCATAACTTAATTGAGTACACTGAAAGAATAACGAATAAGTTCTCAAACAGGTCTTGCTCGGGCCAACAAAATCGTTAGTTGCAATTTACCAAAAAATAATTATTTGGTAGGAATTTGAAAGTCTTAAACATGAATAATTCAAGTCGATTTTGGCTATTGAGCAGTTTTCAGTGCATATCTCGTAATCTGAGGCAAATAGCAAAATTGTTGTCACAATATTTTTTGCAGAGAAAATTAAGAGCTACAAAAAAGTGGTTATCAAAATTGCACCATCTACCTTGGATTCGAAGATATTCTTCGAAAACTCAACTAAGAGATGAGTCGACTTCAACCATTTTACCGTTTAGCTCCTGAACTTGAAGAAAAATTTCACGTTTCGTTCCAAAAGTCTTAACTTGAGGCATTCAAAAGTCTCAACTTGAGCCTATGAAAGTGACTCAAGTGTCAAATATTTCGACTTTGAAAATTTCAAATTGAAAACTTTAAGTCTCCACTTAAGACTTCGAAAGTCATAAATTACGACTTAAAAATCGCATCTTTAGACCTTTGAAATCTTAAAATATGATATAATTTTTTTGGGTGTGGATTGCATCAGGATAGGAAAAGGTTATCCTTTAACCTTATCCTTTTCACAGACTAAAAAAATTTTCACCTCCTAAGAAATCTAGTTTTTATTTTCTGTGATACTCATCACTGAGTCGAAACCCCTCAAAATCAGGAATTTTCCCCTTGAGATCCAGAAAAAAAATGCTGAAATCAACAGAAATTGACTGACAAGTGATTATTCCTTGAAAACTGCAACTTTTTTTCTTCAGCAGCCTTCTTCAATTCCTTTTCTACGTTCTCCTGTCAAAACTGCATCACCTCCGTACAAAAAATAATAACCCAATTAAATTCTTTCATTTCCTCGATCAGAATTGCGGTCTTTAACAACGACTCGTACATAAATTCTTGTTAAAAACTCCTCGGCGTATAATTGAGGAAGGTTACGAGCTAAATCAGACTTATGTCTCGTCTTCATCACCGTTGTCTGTAGTAGGCAGGACCGTAAGCTGGTGCTGCCGGATAGCCATGGTAGGGATACCCCGGTGTCAGGTCATTCCTGTGAGACCAACCAGGCTCATCATGTCCGAAACCTTGAAAAACCAATCTAAATTAGCCCTACCTCTCTGTAAACGTGAGTGAGATTAATTACCTGTTGGATAATCCACGGGGGGTTCGGCCACAGCATTCGCCCAGGCTTGATATGACGGCGGCGGAGCAACTTTACAGATCTTCAGCCTGGAGAGAAATCCAGGAACGAATAATCCCCCAATCACTATCAACTTCTTTATCATGTGAACGCCGAAGATTATTGGAATCAGCATCATCTTCAATTTCATCAGATTCAGGAGAATCAAAATCGGTAGAATTATCGCCTTCTTCTTCTTGAACAGCCTGAAGCTCTCTGGAGCATAAATATATTAACAACAAATATGATAGCGTAATTGCCTGTTCTGTATTGCACTTGACCCTCAACTGGAAAACTATCATCACGTGTTACACGGACAACGCGAAACATCGAGTGTAGTATTTTTTTTTCCTAGATTCCATCGGAGAAAGGCTATTTGGTTCCTACATTCACAGTCGGCGAGTAAAAAACCCGGGGAATATATGCGTGCAGGCAAATTTTTCGTAGAAAAAAAGATTCAAGAGCTCAACATATGTGAATACGTAAAAAAGGGAATTCACAGAAATGTAGGTCGTTGTTTGTTATTCAAGTAGAGAATTGTAACCAGTATGGGCAGATGTCAAGAAGTGAATGAAAAGAGTTTTCCTGAGGTGAATACTTCATTGGTACTATTGTACAATTAAATCCAGAAATGTGCGGGGAAAAAATGAGGTAATGATGCCGCTCATTATTGCAGCCCTTATTTGTCTTCAAATTCGTATTGAAACGCGAGATTTTTAGAAAAATTTCTGCAAGTTGATCGAAAAACCCAGCGAATTCGCTAGAACATTCGATTGGATTTCTATTAAAAATTCTATTAATTGTTTATTATCCAATAGAAAATATTTTCAAGAACAAATTTCACAAGATAAATTTTCTGTTCTTAAATTTCTTTTTTTTTCTTATTAAAAAAATTGAATGAACCAAAAACTTGGAGAAAAATTCAATAGAATAGCCATCGGCGTAAGCATGAATTTAAAATAAAGTGAAATTTTGAATAAATCAATTGGTTTATTTCCCAACAATTTTTAAATTATTAAATTAATCGTCAATTAAATATTCAAATTATTTTATAAATCAATAATTGAGTTTGGAAGATTGACGATTATTGTGTTAATTGAAAATCCTTTCCAGAAATTTAGAGTTATTTACTCAATAGATTTAGATTTAGATTTAGAGTATCAATTATTTTGTTGTTTTTCACATTTCAATGAAGATGAGTATCTTAAATATTTTAAGGTATCATTTCCCTGAATATTAATAATTTAGTGATTGATCCCGACCCCTGCAATAGAATAAATTGTGCAGAATAATCAAAGTCTATTGATTGCTCTATGAGCTATTTTCTATTGAGCATTTCTATTGAAAACAACCGGGAAATTGCTTTCGTCACAACATAGTCAATATATTTTTGCTAATAAATTAGTAATTATGACGATGTATTTTAACACTCCGTTGGTTGCGCAAAAGTCGCACCGTAGGCGCCGCGCCGCACCGGCATAAATCGACATAATGATAAACTTTAAAGATCTAGGAAAAATCTGAAAGAAATCAAGAATGATCTAGACCGTATACTTGAAAAAGTTCCATGAGATTTTCAATTTATGTTTGTTGTTACCCTTAATTATACATTAAAACTCAAAGTTGCCATGTTTTTCTGAAAATTTGTCTCATACAGGTACACGGCCCGAAGTCTCGGAATAAAAATGTGAAAATCCAACTATTCTAACTTCTAGACACTTCAGAATGAGATGTTAAATTTTTTCAAATTTTTCTGACGCTTTACTGCAGTGTAATTCAAAAAAATCGGACAAAGTGTAGCGCGGCGCTCATAGCGCGACCAACGGAGTGTTAAATTGAATTCAAGATTCATCGAATTTAGTATTGCCCCAACGCAAAAATGTTTTACCTAATCTCTGAATATTGGTTTCGAAATAAATTTTTTCAATAACACATGATGCAATCAACCTCATGATCGAACTCAGTGAAGATGGCATTGGGAGGACTATTTTAAATCACGATTAGATTCATTTAAACAATTATGTTTCCAGTTATCACGGACATGGTATCAAAATAACATATTCGAACTCCTGACGCCAACGTTAGTTATTCTGATACAAAAAATTGAAAATTTCAGATTTAACGAATAGAATGTTTCCCGAGGGGCTAGGGTAAACTGCCCAGTAGATGGACGCCTAAGAAAACCACCCAGTAGATGGACGTTTGTTTTTTAACAATTGAAAAAAAAAATTGATGGAAAAAAAATCGTCACCCAGGGGTTGAGAATCGCAACAGTTAGTGAAAATTCAAAGCAACAATTCACATTTCAGTATTTTTTTACGTAATTTCCTATCCAAAAGTAGCTCGCCCATCTATTGGGCAGTCTCCATCTACTGGGTAGCTTACCCTACTCACCCCATAATTGAGTGACACCATGACTTCGAAAGAAGTCGATTTCAGCGGTGATTTCAGTGATTTCGGTCAAAATGATTTCGGTAATTTCGAGCGTCACGGGAGGTGATTTCATGATTTCGAGTGATTTCATTAATTTGAAATCAGTGATTTCAGAAAAATTAAGTTAATAAATAACAGAGGTGGGGCAAAACGGATTATGTCCAATTATGAAAATCAAAACTGACAATAATAACTGGAAAATAATAACGAATTCGATGACGATGAAAGGGGTTCTTTTTACCATTTACCTATGGCAGTGAGCACTGCATTTTATTATCATCGTTGGCAGGAGTGTCAATTTAAAAATTACGAATTACTTGCACAGTTCCCACAACGCCAGTGCGCCACTGATTTCGTTGATTTCATTGATTTCAGGCGATTTCACGTGATTTCGGAGATGAATTCAAAAATGATTTCGGAGAGCTGAAATAACTTCAGTAGCGAAGTGGTAAAAGGAGATAAGTGCATTAAAAAAAAATCAAAATTTTTGCGTGAATCACATTGAAATATTAATTTTCAAATGGTAACAATAATATTACGAATTTCGAACAAAAATGCACTTATCTGCTTTTACCACTTCGTTACTACTTGATTTCAGTGATTTCGGAATGATTTCATGCCAGGATGGCGCCGTGATTTCGAGAGTTATTCTCGATGTTTCCATACGGCAATAAAAAAACCCCGAACACCTGCAGACTTTTTCAATAGAATCCACTATAATGTTCTAGAGAATTCGCTAGATTACTCAATGAATTTCCTTCATGTGTGCTTCATTAAATCATTAATGATCATCATCAATGAATTTCCCCATGTGTACATCATCAAAGTCAACTATCATCGGCATAAGAACAACAAAAATACCTGGTTGCCCCCTCTGGAGACTAACCATCTCATCCTCATCCATAATAATGGGCCCATCAGCAAAAGTCCTAGAGTTCTCCAGTGGCGGTTGATAAGTGTAAACAATGGCCCTCCTCGTGATAAGATCCTCCCCCACATCCTTCATAAAACTGAGCGTCTCCCCAATCCCAAATTTCAAATCCCTGGGTCTCGGCAGATCCGGCAGAACGGAATCCCTCGTGACCGCTGGTATTCTTATCACCTTGAACGGTCCGTAACTGAACTCCTACCAACACCGGGAACAAAAAGCAGACGTTGAAAAGGGAAATCGACATTTCTCACTGTCTTAAATTCATAAAAAAACCACTCGCCAATTACCTTTTCACGAACAACTTCGTGAAGCCACCTGACCACCCGGTACTTGCCGCAAACCACAACATCTCTCTTGATGACACAATCACGTCTGCAACGGTCGACAAAATCCCTCGGTGTTGTGTCATTCGTGAATTTTCCATCAGTTGGTCTTGTGCACAGAATGAAAAAAATCACGCATTTCAGAATATTGTCCATCACATCATCACTTCTAACTACATCACGAGTGTTCTTCTTTCTTTTGGTCTCCATATTGAGATCAAACGAGTCCAATCCGGAAGGGCAATGATATCAGAATGAAAATGGCGACAGTGTCATAGTCCTCTAATCCACAGCTGTCATTAGAAAATCCATCGCGTGAAACTAATTGAGATATCCCTTCTTCTTTCTGATAACATCAACGGAACGAAACTCTGGGAACAGTCTGATTGAAACTGATTACAGATAATTAATGCCACAATTGGAGATTATGATGTCATTGGTTGAGGAAATGCAGATGAGATGAATGCGGATGACGGAAAATTCGCAAGCTCACTAGTCGTTGTTAGAAGATATCCTGTCCATATATACCATCGGCATATAGGTCGGTGGGGGTAACGGTCCACGTTGCTCAGATCGTGTCCTGCAGCCAACACGAACAAGAATGCCTGATGCACTCCAGCAGCCGACTGCTCCGAGAGTCTTGTTGAATCTACTATGTACTATCCGTTCATTTATGTCGTTATTTTCATTTATTCTCGTTAACGGGTAGTAAAAGTTCAATTTTATGTCCTCCATTAAGTTTAATTACTTTAGGTGTGAATACTGAAGTGTCAAGCGCAAGTGTTAATAGATATCAATTAAAGGCGGATCTATTCATTTGAAAACCTTTATCCATTTTCCGAAAATTTATTTCATTATTTATTGGCTGTCGCGTGCTAAATGGAAAAGGTCGTATTGAGCATTTTGGGATTTTCAGGTCAACGAACTGGAAAAAGGTCGTATTAACTTAATCTAGGAAACGTGAAATCTGGACGATTTGGGCGCTGCAGAATCATTTTGACGCAACTTTCGAGGACAATTTTTTTTGCGCACACGACCTTTTTCTACAAATATTTCTCCAATAGTGGAAAAATGAAAAAAAAATTATTTTCATTGTTTTCTTTCCATTTTTCTGATATTCGGCCGGACTTTTAAAGAAATAAACATTATTCTAGAGAGATTTCTATTGGAGAAAAATATGTGGAAGAAGTTCGGATGCACCAAAAAAAATGTCCACAAGAGTTGGGGTAAAATAAATTCTACAAGGCCCAAATCGTCCCGATTTCATGTTCTCTGGATTAGGCTTCCATGAACTTTTTCGATTTGGCACGCGATATAGAATCAACAGGATAATGCCAGTTACAGGGTCAAATTTGATACATTCAGATATCATTATTTAAAGGTTTAATTACTTATGTAGACATGAGAGACGACGGAAAGTTGAGGTTTTTTGCTTCTGAGGGGAAACATTGTATTCGTCAAATCCGAAATTTCCAATTTTTTGTTCTTAGGATAACAAATTGTCTTAGATAACTAATTTTGACCTCAGGAGTTCGAATATGCTACGTTTAGACCATGTCCGGATGTATGTATACATGTATGTATGTTTGTTTTTGTATTATGTGTTATGTATTTTGATCGCTTTACGACGATAACTGAAAACATAATTGTTTGAATGAATTCAGTAGCGAAGTGGTAAAACGGTACAAGTCACTTTCGACTATTGACCGGTTTTCAATGAATATCTCGGAATCTAAGGAAGATAGCAAAATTTTTGTTGTAACCTTTTTTATAGAGTCGATTGAGAGCTACAACAAATGTAATTACGAAAATTTCGCTATCTCCCTTAGAGTCTGAAATATTCCTCAAAAACTAAAATGAGAGATAAGTCGACTTGAACTGTTTTGCCACTTCACTACTGAATTGTGATTGAACACTCCGTTGGTTGCGCTATGAACACCGCGCCGCATTTTTTCCAATTCTTTTAATGACACTTAGTCAAGTCCCGAAGAAAACGAAAAAAATTGGACATCTCATTTTGAAGTGTCTAGAAGTCTTATCAGTGGAAAATCTCAGCCAAAAACATCATAAGTAGTGAAATTTTGAAATTTGTTCGCCGAACCTCCAGGCCATGTACTGTGTATAAGGTAAATTTTCAGAAAAACATGTCAACTTAATTTGAGTTCGTATACATAATGCTGGGTAACACTGAGGATAAGGGTAACACTGTTGGCTTTTTTCAGACTTCTCCGAAATATTTAAAATTTATCATCATGTCAATTATAACAGCGCGACCAACGATACGACGGTCGTAAGGCCAGCACGAACAACGGAGTGTTAAAACATTCTTCCCAATGCCATCTTGTCCACACGGGGAGAAATATTCAATAAAAATTACGTATCTTTTCCGTAACTCCGGAGCGAAATGTGGTTGTAGTAAATTTTACGGAACTGTCACGGAATTTTTCCAGAGCTTCCGTAATTTTTATCTGAATCTCCTGTGAAAAATTACGATACCGTCACTTTAATTTTGTGTGTCGATTCCGTAATCGCTCACCGAATAGTGAGTTCCGTAATGTTTACTGAATATTTCTCTCCCTGCAAGATTCATCATAAGTGTCATAATGTTAAAACACATTAAAAATCCATAAATATTCATATGTAACATGAACTAAAATGAGGAAGTTATCGAATCATTGGAATTATTTCAATTAATTTTCTTATCAACCAATTATAGAATCGCAATCTTCAATGATTTATCGAAATAAATCGCAGGGCGATCCCATCACGACGGAATTTCCCGAGATTTATGACTCAATTCCATATTGACAATTTATCTGACAAGTTTGATAACCTGAGACATCAGTGCTTTTTATCTCCCTTACTAGTAGCTTCAGTACTGTCTCCTCCGCAATTGAATGTTGCTACGTGCGTTGAATTGCGAATTGGTTTTCCTATTTTTCCTGTGTTCAATATCCGGGTCAATAGAATGAACCACCAATCCTCATTCCGCCGGTATCGGTTATGCGTCTGTTCTGTGGGTTAAGCGTAAAGAGGACACTGTAACCTTTAAGCGAAAATCATAAAATCACAGAGGTTCCATGTAACAAGCGATAAATTTTTCTAGCGTGGAGACGATTGTACTAGGAGGATAGCAGCGTAAATGAAGCGATAAATTTCATTGTGGTGATTCAGGAAATTCGAGAAATAGTAATGATAATGCGATCTTTATGAGAGCATTGGGTAGAGAGTATTCTCCTTGCTAGACCGGTTCGGTAAACAAATGGGGCTTATGTCATCTTGGGTCGCCTCAACCGGTTACAATTCTCATTGTGAATTGAGGTTTTGCGTGGAGTTTTTTCATTGCTGGATATAAAATTATTATTTTCATTGCTGAATATTATTATTATTATTGTAGACATGTATTTTTGCTTTCGAACAGAAGCATTGAAATTGTTGAATGTTAAAATGTTCTTGGAAATTATGTGGAATGCTCGGAATCGTAAAAATACGAAATTTGAAGACCATCTGTGCACCTACGGGTGACCACACTGTTAAAAATTTTCGTCGGAATTGTCCGTGCCAAATTCCGGAAATTTTTATCGAGTTCAAGTTCAACTGACACTTCAGGAAATAATGTCAGTAAAAAATCAAATATTACATTGATTTTCTGTTCAAATTATCTGGAAATCAGTAAAATACAGGATTTTTCAGTTCAATTATTCTGTGAAAAATCCGAAAAATCAGGAAAATTCTGGGATAATTGAAAATTCGCTTCATTTCGTTTCTGAATATTCATGTTTTACTGAAAATTCAATCAAGTGAAAACTCAAAACTAAATTCCATTCAGTGTCACTCTCATGAGATTTGCTATAAAATCTTCCACGAAATTTCAAAAAATTTCTAACAGTGCACCGGTTCCCTTTCGGAGTTCAATTTATCTTAACTCTTCGTTACTCGCGTCCACGACATCGCGCCGAAATTCTTTTTTTCATCACACTGTCCGTGAAACATCGTTGAGGGGAAAAAGTCAGTGGAATTTCAAGTTTCTCTGAATATTCAAGTATAAAGTCCCAATTTTTTAGCGGCAGGAAGACACAAATTACACAATTGACATGAATTTTCAAATGAAAATGAATATGCATTGCCAAATTCCCTTGAATTTTTAGGGAATTTTTTTAAAAATCGTGGAGCTCCCGAAATTTTTGAAGGAATTCCCCAAAAATTCAGAGGAATCTGAAATTATAAAAGATATTCGTCTGAATTTTACTGATTTTTCATTAGATTTCCCGTAATAATTCAACTGAAATTTACCGTTCCTACGAATTTTTCCATGGAATTATGAATTTTTAATGACAAAATTCTTGAAATTTAAATGCACAAGTTACTCATTAGAAATTTCCATGACCTTTACCGGAAATTTCAGTGAAAATTTTTTAACAGTGTTCAGATAGTTTTCAAATAGCATTTCATTAAAAAAAACTCGCTGCTCAAAAATTTGGAATTCTATTGAATTTCTAGTGAAATTTTATGATTCACTCTACCCCCCCCCCCTCCCCCCACATATATAGAATTCATTATTTACAGAGAATCACTACTAAACTGTGCATAAATTTCAATCCTTTTTAATAGTTTTCAAATAGCATTTCAAGAAAAAAACTCTAAAGTAATAATATCAAGTTTGATAACTAAATACCACGTGACCACCATCGTTCATCAAGAGCTCATCTACTCCCACCGCAGCTCAATACCAAGAGTACGGTATTTGTCATGAGAAAAATGTCAACCGAATAGCATCACCACTAACAGATCGCGGGAGTTTTTAATTCTAAATCCAAAATTCTCACGCTCATGAGTAAAAATCCTCTGAAAAAAACGGCGGCTCCTTGAAATGGGAACAGCCATAATCACAATTATCAGCGGATCGGCGAGAATCGGCATCAGGATGGCTTTGACGTTTGACAAAAACCTGTGCTCCATCAAATTGATGAACTCGAGAAGAAGGAAATCCTCATGCATTCTCGAATCCAAATTTTATGAGGCTGTTTACAAGAAAACCGAGAGAACTGTTGTACACAGGGATAATGTCGCCCGGATGCTACTTGAACACTTCTCCGTAACCAGTTGTACATTAATTCTTGTTCCCTTCTTTTTCTTCTTCTGCGTCGTCTCCGCGTTCTCCACTCGTGACACAGTTTGTTAACACGGGGATATTAATCGATGATTCCATCGCACGTGATCCCGATACCTCAATACCTCGCGAAATGCACTTCATATAACCGGAAGTTTTTTATATGCGCCAATCCACTAGTTTTTTTAAAATTCTTACGTGATTATTTCTGAAAGGAGAGGCTATTTGAGAACATGAAAAACAAAGAACACGAACAATTAATGACATGCCAACACAAATGATTCATGTTCTCCACGTAATTAAGTCTTGAGTCAAAGGTTGCATAACAGAATATCAGAAAAACGTTAGATTATTTTTCATTGACAAGTTCATTGAGATAATTTAGCCACACGGAGGAAAATTTGCTGAAAAAATTCGTAGGCTGCATCATAAATATTGCGCAATTTGCGCTCTTGAATAAATTATCGTGCACATTGTTAGAAAAAAAATGAAATTTCAGAGATAGTTGACTATTAATTTTCAGTACACTCAATGCGATTTAGAAGAAAAAAAATCATAAAATTTCTAATTTCACAGAAAATTTAGTAAAATTGCAGAATTTTAAGCAGCATAAAGACGAGATTCCTCAATTTATTTGAATTTTCAATCTAAGATGAATATTCAGTACCAAATTGCATAGAATTTTCAGTAAAATCTGAAATTTCATGATTTTTTCCCCCTAAATTGCATTCAGTGTCACTGCCCTAAAAAATTCCAGAATATATTTACATGAATTTTCTGGTTTTCTATTCATTTTGAGGGAAAAATGGAATTGAAA